CCACCGCACCACCGCACCCCATCACACCAAGACCGGAACCGCGACATTACCACATCCTATATCCACCTCGCCGCAGGACCCGTGTTCATGCACATACATCCGATGTTGGCCAATGGGCCAGCGGGTGTGTGTTGAAGACATGACCGTGCTGTAACGGGGCCCAAGCAGTAGTCTATGTCGACAGCATAACAGAAGTTCGGCACGATCCATGAAGAGCTATGCTCCGACGACGGGTAAATGTTCCTCCGCGTTCATCCGCGATGCGGGGCGATCTTTCATTCCACCGTACAGTCGACCAGCGGACATGGCGCAGGCGGACATATTAAGGGGTGTGGCTGTGGCAGGAGTAGGGAACATCTTTTATTGTGGATAGGATGTTGGATGGTCGGGAGTATACCTGAGAACAGTCTACTGGGCGTGCCCCTTGAGATGGAGTTGGATCCCCACCAGTGCTGACCTTGCCCCGTGCCCCCACGAGAGCACACTACAGATCTTCGTTAGCGGCGCTTCGGGTGCCAACTTGTACGGACTCAGAGGCACGCTCGCGTCACCTGGCACGACATGTAGATCCACGTAGTAAGCTATCCATCATGACACGCAGAACCTGAACAGCAACCTGGAGCGTGGCCGCATTTTCTCCGCATCTTTCTGCAACCGACCAGCTGTTGACAAGAGTATACTGGTTTGCACACCAAGCCAACACCCTAGTTAGCTGAGTTACGCATGTAGCCCTCGTTCGTTAAGGTTGGGCGCAAGGCCCGTGCCTCCCTCGAACGGTCGAGCAGGGCTCTCCCTTGCCCGGCAAACCATATTTTTCCTCGTATATTTTTTAAGATCCAGTGTATGCCGGTGCGTCCCTGGTTGGTTGTACATTTACAACAGTTGTACGAAAAAAGTACACGGAAAAGTGTAGACTACAGTAGTACATACATTGAAGAGTGTACACATTCCACCACGAAAATGGTGGGACTGTCGCCGAAATAGCTACATAGGACTAAAACACAGCACACTGACGCACACACGAACAATGTCTATTGCAAAAACCAGAGCCCCAAAGCTACCCTGTGCCTCCACTATGTGAAACCCCCTCCAAAGGCGAAACAGGCCCGCAGTAAGCCCACACGCTGCATGCGTTGAACCGGTGCCCGTTGAACGCACCGTATCATTGCATTACGTGCTTGCAAATCGTTTATGATGGATGCCCAAAGGACCCATAGCTCACACCGTCGAGGGCGCCACAAAAACATAAGCAGCCTCTGGAAGATGGAAATGTGGCAGGAACGCGTACAGTAAGGTGATCGGTAACGTCCCCCAAGCGCCGGAGTGAGTGCTTGGTTTACCAATATCACCGAGAATCAAGATGTGTCGTTGCCGCCAAGTTGTCAGAAACACCACATACAACGAGGTTCGCTTCAAACGTTCGCCTGGGGGCGTGTCTATATACACACGGAATCTGGAAAAGAGCGCTGTACCAACATGCGGCGGAAGAGTACACCCGACATTATATACCCAGGAAGTATATTTGAATGCGTCCGGTCGAACCATGAATAACCAGGAGGGTAGGGTCGTAATACCTGTCTGTACCTGCGCTAGGCACACGCCGAATGCCGTCGACCCACAAAACGTCTTGTCCACCACCGAGCGAGGCGGAAAAAATACCGAACAAGGGAAGCGCCATGCATGTCTATCTACTGGATATGGACCTGTGTAACACCACCCACAAAGTCGTGATAGTTCGGCGGGGCGGCCGAACGGGTCGTGGTAGTGACCGTCGACCCCGGGGGGGGTGCAGCGTACACCGACTCCATCTGGGGGTCAGCTGTCCCGGTGTAGCGGCGGTCATGGTTGGTGGCGCTGACCGAGTCGGAGATCGCGAAGTTTCTGTGGACGTTGACGTTGGTGAGGGCCAGAAGCTCGGCGTCCACCTCGTTGATCTTTCGTTGGGCGTTCCTCTTCCTCTCCTGCCAAAGACGAGCAATATACGTAGCCACAAACAAGAACAGTTTTAGGTGAGGGAGTGAAATGAAATATTCACACACAGCCAATATCCACACACAACCAGCCGGATCGACGACGGGTTTCTTCCATAATTCACGGCGTTACAGTAGTGATGACTTTCTCCCGATGATAGATACAGATCACATGGAGCATGACGAACGGGCTCATATCGGATCCACCTCAGCCCTGGGCAACACACATTTTTTCGCTGTTTGTTTTCGGCAGGCACCACATAGCAATACAAATATATACTAGGAGGTCAGGACGACGAAGAACATGCGGTAGACTGAGCGGTAGTTCGTTCAGAATGAGAGTTGGATGCATCTTAGGATTGCGAGAGTGACGACGGAACGGATAACGGGATGGTTTCGTCCACACGTAGACCATACATGAACAACAGTAAAGAAGCGGAACACAACGATCGACAAGGCTGTGACCACGACGTCGTAGATGCTGGTCGAGAGTGAACACCCGAACTTGACGCACGCCACAAGCCACAAGACGTTTTGCCTCAGGGTTTCGAGTTCGAAGCTCAAAAAGAAGCAAGTTTGGACCTTCACTCAAGCGCAGGTAAACCCGTACTCGCGTATCCTGCCAGCCTTTGGTCCACAAAACAAACAACTGCCTACCGCCCTTTCGCACCTTCATTAACTCGGGAAGGCAGCACTGACAGCAGGTGCAAACGAACACGATCGCCGTCACCGGGAACGCCATCCACGCCACGTTCGCGAGCCCCCGGAACTTCTCCTCGTCCTTCTCCAGCTTCTGCTTCTTCTTCTGCAACTGCTCGACCTTGGCGCTCTTGATGCGGTCATGCTGGATGGACATTTGCATGTCCATGTTAGCCGCCTGGGTGAGGATATCTGGAGTTTTGGAGAGTTGGGTTGGGCTTTTCCGATCAAATATGGTAAAGGACAAGGCATTCACACTGCGAACAATGAGAACAACACACGCGTTGTAGTACTATTAATACAACACACGCGTGGTAGTACTATTAATGTTCATGTACGTGCGATATCGCGAACGGGGCTTTTCCGGGATGTGCCGGAGGGTTTGGCTTGCTCGCCCGAAATCGACACTGCCGCGGCATTTCTGCGTGTTCCAGGTTTCGTCGTCCGTAAAAAGGCGGTTAGAATTCATTCATTAGGATATTGTATCGAACCTTTCGGAATATCGCATCGATTCGTTGCATCAATATCGATCTATCGATAAGGAACTCCGGAAACGACCATCATATACTGTAGTAGGGCTTGGTCGTGTTCAGGTTTTAATGCCATGAAGGACGCCACAAATTGCGTACGATTCATCTCAAAGCGAGAAGAGAAGCTGCTACTTGAGATGCTATCCTTTCATTTGTTTCTCTGTAAGAGTTTGGGCTTCTACGACAACCTTGCACAACTAGTGGGACATGGGATACGGCTGAGCTTTGATACACTACTACGTACATTGGTTACATGAAATGATAATACCCTTGCTGAAATGTTTCCCACACGTTATCCTTCAGTTATAGACAGCGTTTCACAACCGGTTTCGGAGGTCGTTGTTTTTCGGTAATTGTGATATGGGAAGGACATGAAGCGCATTTACTTGCTATTTTTTTTTTGCTTCCGGCGGCGCCTCCGGCGTGGCCCACCTTCCAGCATGGAGGGAAGGGGCTACTTGGGCTCGCACAGCAGGCTTTCGCGCCTTAGCGGGTCGGTGCAATCCCTCGCCGGCTCGCTGCGCCCGCGGTCGATCACATCGACGATTGAATCGATGTTCAACTACAGGTGGGCCCGGCACAACAAGAAAAGCAAGAATTTCGGTCTTTTCGCGATATCTCGACGAGTTTCCCCGAGTTTTTGGCCGAATAAAGAACTGAAACGTTTGCGCAAAAGCCCGGGTGGATTCAACGCTGTTCCAAGGAGAGAAGACGATTTCTATAAATAAATCTCGCGCGTGCCGAATTTTGTACTTTCTGTCATTATCTCGACAAGAAAGTTGCCGATTAAAAAAAAAAAAATTACACATTTATTTTTAGGCCGATCTATGCCCGGATGGATTCAAAGCACTGTGAGGGAAAAATGAAATTTCCCCCACGAGGTATACTCCTCAGAAGACACCACTCAAAAGTTCAACATTTTTTTTTATTTTAGACCAAATTTGGCCGTCCCGTGGGATGCGCAAAACTGCAGTTTAATATTTTTTCCCATTTATTATGTGTTCCTACCCCCAGAATTTGGCACCAGGAGGCCTCATGTCCCTGGGTTTTCGGGACAACACAACCCGTCGAGAATTTTGCTTTTGGAATCGCAGATTGAATGAATCCGCATGGAACAGCCGCAGAGACTGTACGAAACGGTTTCGTAATCGGCTTTAAATTCGTCGAGATATCGACGAAAAGGCATATTTTCCTATGGAAAAGCTGATCATTCCGAAAATCCGAAATTTCCGTACCGAAGGACCAATCAAAATACTGTGCTGCATTCGTTTCCGATTCCCCGCGAACGCCGTTTATGGGATCGGCTGCCATCAGACCAACGGTTCTGTTGCAAAAATCGAAATAAAAAAAAAGTATTTTTGTGGACTTGAGTTTGATGTCAAAATTTTGATCCTGTTGTGCCGGGTCCATCTGTAGGTTAGCGCTACAGTACACTCCTAAGATGGGACCAGCGAAAAGAAACGCTCGGTCCAAGCGGAGCGGAACAACAGCTCTCAGCGAAAGGAAACGAAACGAATCAATTCATCATATATTCATTCATACCAGGTTGCGTGCTGGGTTATTTCGCGTGCAACGCCTTCTTCACAGACGGGCAAAATAGCCCCAACATGATACAACTGCATATATCTTCGGAAGTACGCACGCACTCACTTTGCGTTGCATTTCTCGTATCTGAGGTTTGGGCCGTGCGACTTCCCTGAAGGTTTCCCTGCTGCCGGACGTGCTCGATTTCTTCCGCAGCGCGAACATCCCTAAGCTTTGCCTCGTTGTTGGTCTCCGCCCTTTGCTGCGTCATCGTGGCTCCGCTATATACCCGAAAAGACTTGTTCACAACTGCGTACAGCACATGTAGTACAGATGAAGCAATGTTGGGGCTCAGGTGAGATTCCACACCCACTGAAAGTCTGCACATGTATGTGCGGGTACGGAAATACCACCCATCCAAATCAACTGTCTGCGGACACACACAGGATGGAAATATGGGTTGTGGCCAACCTAATTTGGACATGAAGAAGCAGTCGGTGCTCCAGTTGAACAACCGAGGCAAGGTGCGAGGCAGCGTTAATACCCTACTGTTTCCTTTGTTGCTCCGGGAACCTACGGTCTGTCGAATGGTCGAGCGAATAGAAGGAGGTGCGGTAAGGCTTGGGCTTCAAAGTAATGAATTCGTCTTGGCGGGGGGCCTTGGTCACCTATGTACTGTACACAACTCATACCGTATCACACCAACTACGCGAAAGGGTGAACACGTTGTCGGAAAAAATGCGAGCTCGAAGTATGCGTCGACAGACTCAGGGTGTTATGTTCAAATTTCGGCAGCTAGGGCATCTTGCTGCCTTATGCGTTGTCTTATGCGTTGTTCGCTCTGGCTGGAAGATTGACGGGATGTGTTGCGAGGGAGCGACGAACGTGTGCGGTGTGCTGCGATGCACACCCTGTCTGGGTGCGTGCACATCCATTCCAGCTCAAACCGTCGCGTCTCTCTCACAAGACGCTCACAACGCTCCACTCAGACCCCGATGGTTGGTGGCAAGGTACCTCAGAGCTGGGTCGAAGGTTTCCCCCGAATGCAAGCATCTGTTTGGGAGATATGGTGACTTGGTCGCGGGCCGTGCTGATCAGATTCCTCACGGTGACATCGTGACATCATCACATTCTGACAAAAACGAGACTGGTCCCAGGAACGGGAAAAAGCTACCTTGGTATAGGTTGTTGTACCGTTACGTTCTTGGTTGCTGCTGTGCCGTTTAGGCTAAGCCGCGACGCAAAAGGGGTGGGGGCTAGGTTGTAGGGTTAGGGTGCTGTGCACGGTTAGCGCTTGGTTATTGTGCGGTCAAAGGCTATAGATTGGATCGCACTGCCTCTGGAGATGGGTGCAACAGAACCAGAATTCCGAGAACCTTACTTATCTGCAAATGGGCAAAGCATTCTTCATCACCCCCACCGCGGGGGGACAGGAAGTTCGTTGGAGCAAAAACGAGTTTCGATTTTCGACGGCTGGTCGCGAACGCATACTTGTATCCTACGCGGCATGTCTATCCGATGCACACGACACGCACGTGTTTGCTCATAAAGCGGCGCGATTGATCTACTGCCGCCAAGAACGCAACTACTTCCACGGGGGGAGCAGCAGGGAGCACCCGCAACTTGAGGCGTCCGATTTACCCAGCCTTGATCGCACCTCTGTACACAGTGTGCACATTGTACTCACGACGACGTAATCTTTTCTCCACACCCCTCGTGGTGGGCTTCCGTTGTCTTTGTTAACAGGTATGCATACAGGTTTGTCTACTGCTGTAGTACTGCACCTAGTCCTCCCTCTCCGGGCGTTGCTTCGTCAAGATCTCTCGCCTCACAGTCGGCGAAGTTTAAGTTTCCCCGTTGCCTCGTTGACCCGCTATTAATAACTTGTTGGCCACTCACTGTGCAAGGTCCCAGCTGCTGCGGAATACCCTGTGCGTGTTGCCGTGCAGGATGCTCTCCTAACGTGCTGATTGCTGATTGTTGTGCGCTGAATGGGCTCCTCGGGTGTGTGTGTGGTGGGGTGGGTGGGGGCGCGTGTGTGCGGGGGACACGATGAGCTGGACACGATCGATTGGCACGGTGATCGAGATCGAGATCCCGAGATCGGTCCAGGTCCAGGAAAAGGGAGACGGCCCACAGCCCAAGGAAAAATAATTAGCGCTTGGAATCATTTTATTGTAGGTTAAAATAACCCGATGTTGTATTTTCCCAAATTCTGAACAGACAGAACTGGGTTTCAGTTTATGATTGCTCAAGAGTTGTGGATGAATCTTTACGGCTTGTAGGGTGCCCCGGCGCCCCGGGCTATATTCTTCTCGGAAGTTTACAAGAAACTTCAGGGAAAAGCACCTCCCCTACCGACAGAAAATTCACAAGCGTCCGTCTCTAAGCGAACGACCTGGGCGCGCGCGCGGCACACAAGGAGGACAGAAGAGGTGAGGAGGCAAAAACAAACAACAACGAACTCTACAGTCAGGTTTCATATTTTAGTAGTGTAGTAGTACTGTTCGAGAATCTTCAACAAATTTTATCATTGCAAAAGTGGGGGTTTATTCACATCGGGTTATTAGAGAGAAAAAAAGTACACTGGACACAACGAAATTTTGGAGAAGATTGGAAGAAACTTCAGGCAAAGGCGCGTCCCGTACGGACTGAAAATGCACAAGCAAGCCTCCATGTCTCTAAGAGAACGACCCGGGCGCGCGCGCGGCACAGAGGGAGGTGTAGTGGTATGCACGCGTGATGAAGTCTGGTTGACCCGTGAAGAAGAACTCACTTGTTGTTACTCTTGTAGAACAGCAGCAGCAGTAGGAATGACACAGGATCCTCTGCACAAGCAGGGGCTACTAGATCCTGTCCCCTACTTTTTATCCTTCCGCGGAGAGTTACATCTCTTCGCGCCTTCTAGAAGGAACCAAGCTCTTCTATGTTCCGTCTACACATCTGAATCCTATAACACTAGCCCACCCTGGAGGTTCTCATACGCAGATACTGTAAAACCTCGGAGTCTTGACAAGCAATTGTCGAGTCTCTAAATGAAAGTATCGAGGATGTGGAGCTCCAAAACAGCACAATTCACCCTCCCACACCTCTCACTCGATGAGTCGCAAGACCATCGTTTGACTTCTAAAACGACAAAAAGACACAGACAGGAAGGAACTGACGGGGCTAAGAAAAGCCTACGACGACCGGAAGAAGGTCGGAACCAAAGAAAGGAAAACACAAAGAAAGGAAGAAAAACAGAAAAAAAGAAAAACAGAGGTCGTCATAACGACAAAAAGAAAGGATCACTGTAGGAACCACAACAAGACCGGTATCGTAAGAAAACGATAAGATACGCCATTCACGCAGTCGCCACGGCAGTGTAGAAGGGCCAACAATGGGCGCGAAACACCTACAGGTCGTGACCAAACGCTAAAGGCACAAAATAAAGCGAGGAGAAAGCGAAAACCAACCAAGGCTAAAAAGCAACCCAAACAACGCTGAAAACAACAGAAAGCCAAGACAACTAGCACGTCGTATTAATGGGGGCGCGCAACGTTATCAGGCAACGAATCAGTCCCGGGGTCACCACGCGACATGTCGACGTTGCGAAGGATCCCCTTAAAAAGGGCGCTGCCGCTGTGAACTTGGAGGCACCAGGATCCGGAGACGGCGGTTTCAGCGGTGGAGTAGCGAACATCAGGAAGGGCGAGCTTGACAGGGCCAGGATCGTCCAAGAAGCGGACGATGTAGAAGTCGGACGGTAGAGGCGGTCCAGTAATCTTGCCCAACCACCAGAATCCATCGCGAGCTTTGTACCAGAAGAAGGCGCCTGCAGGTAGCGGAGTATGGGCGAAGCGACGGTCCCATGTTGAACGAGAGACGAGCGAATCACCCGAAGGCAAGGCTCGCTCCCCTTTAGCGCGCGCCATCTCGCGGGTGGCCGCACCAATACGCATCGCCCGATAGCGGCGATTCGTTTGGCGGTGTTGATCAGGCGAACCCGTCCAGTACCGGAGAATGTGGGTCTTGGAATGCTGGAGGTCCATCTCACGTTCCCAAGAAGGACGAAGAAGACCTTTCCAATGCGTTTGGTATAAAACAGCGATGGTGCCACCACGGCCACGAACAGACTGATGGCCACTAATGCGGTCAACCTCGAGACGTTCGACCGGAGTCGACACGTCGTCTTCCGTAACATGGAGGGAGGAGATTTATTCGCATAGGAGTTTAGCACATACGGTGTAAGGCCGGCAGGCAGGAACCGAGGCAAGTCTTCAGTGTCATGCGGATTAGCGCAAGGCTTGCAACGCGCAACTGACACACGGTTTTTCGAGTCCGGACCCGGCAGATCCGATGGAAGATCCAAATACAGTAACTTGGAAGCCAGAGGACAACCGTCGGGAGCGTCAGGACACGGACCCACGGCCAAGATCTTGAACGGACCAGTCCAAAGGAAAGACAACTTAGCCTTGAGGACCTTGTCATCCGTGCCTGAACGAACACCTTGGTGAATGGTAGATTCGGTGTTGTACACCCAAACCCATCCACCGACGGTGTATGAGGGGACCTTGCGCAAAGCATCCGATAGAGCGGAGTTACGCCGCTCAATCCTCGAAACGGACAGGTTGTGCTGCTCGCGAACTAAATCGTAAGAACGACGTTGGCGATCAGCAGCAAGATCGCAATACTCAAGTTGATCGCGATGCAAGCTTTGGTGGCCGCGAGCATATGGATGCTCAAAAACCGTCATCGGCATGCGTGGCAGGCGGTTCATGTGCACCTCGTTGGGCGCCAAACCAGTAGCGGCACTAACCGAATTGTTGTAGGCAAACTCAACGTGCGGCAGATGAATGTCCCAATCATCTTGCCTCTCATTGACGACCATAGCCAACATCTGAGCCATAGTGTGATTTACGCGCTCCACACCCCCATTGCCGTTGGGATGGTAAAAGCTGGTAGCCACTTTGCGTATAGCCAGACGGGCGTATACAGCCTGCGACAGTTTAGAACAAAACTGAGAGCCATTATCAGACAAGAGACTCAAAGGGCAACCCCATAAAGGGATATACCGATTGACAAGTACGTCAGAGGTGCCTTCGGCGGTGACTTCTGCAGCCGTAACCGCGTACATGTCAGCACGGCGGCTGAAACGATCAGTGAAAAGCAGAATATATGTGTTTCCGCGCGGTGTCAGCGGGAGGGGACCGAAATAATCGACGCTCACCGACACACCAGGGCCCGAAGGCAGCGGAAGGCACAAAGTAGGCCATCGAGGCGTTTGACGAG